CCAGGAATAGCGCAGAAGTGAGACAGAGAATTAAAAAAATGAGCTTAAATCCAACCATTGTTACAGCCATGACGAATACAACTGTGCCTAATAACTTAACTATCTCTGCTGTGCCTTACTAACACATTTCATTAACTGCCGATTGCTTCTGTTTATATCCGAGCCAACAGCCTTCTGAACTCTAATCTTAATTGCCATTGCTACTGTAGTTTCAATAAAAGCCTCACATTGAGCTCATTTAAAGACAGATAAGATTGTTGTCAGGCTATGACAGCACAGATAGATGGCCTCTGATAAGACAGAAGACAGCATCACCTCCAGGCAAATATCTAAAGCGCATAAGCAGAACTCCAAAGAAAGAGGTCTTATTTCAGCCTGAATACCTGAGGAAGTGACCCCCATCTGAGGAATCAGCTGCTCATCCCTGCAGTCCTCCCTTCCGGGCACTAGCCGCTGGTATCTTGGTGGATGTGGATTCCCATCCACATCCACCAGGAAGGGAGGGGGCATTAGGTGTGGAGCTTGCTGAGTTTGTTCGTCCAGCACGTAGTTATTGGCATCCCGGATCAGTGGCCGGTAGTCGGTATGGAAGAACATCTGATCTGCTATCTGAAACAGTTTTGAGGTTGAGAGGGTGCGGCGCTGTTGTTATTACTAATAACATGCGATGAGTTGTCGTGTATGTGCATAAATATCGCAGGTCAGTTTACCTTGTCGTACTTGCTGCTGGAGCCGAAACCAAAGATGAGCAGGTGACCGTGGGAATCGGTGGCTGCAAAGTGCTGCCCATCTGGACTGCATTTGCAGTCAAACAGCGCTCCGTGCCCTTGGCCCTCAATCTATCAAGGGTGAGACAGAGTGGAGGGGAAATCTTAAAACTGCACTGTAGCTATTTGCACTGCATGGGCACAACCCAGTATTAATGTCTTGTCAACAAGCCAGCAGAATTGTCCAGAAAGAAATATGCACACAAAGAACAAACATCAAACAGTTTGTAGCACAACAGTATCCTGTTTATGCAAACC